AAAATGGAGGCTCTAGCCCCTTCCAGAGCTGAGATATCGAAACTCAAAAATTCGGCCCGAAAAAAAAACGACAGTGGTACCCCTTACGTTTTTTTTTTTGGGCGAAAAATTAAGTTTCTCCAATCTTCCCAAAACTCTGGATTCTGATAGAGGGCCATGAGACTTAGACCTGAGTGCAAAAATGGAGGCTCTAGCCCCTTCCAGAGCTGAGATATCGAAACTCAAAAATTCGGCCCGAAAAAAAAACGACAGTGGTACCCCTTACGTTTTTTTTTTGGGCGAAAAATTAAGTTTCTCCAATCTTCCAAAACTCTGGATTCTGATAGAGGGCCATGAGACTTAGACCTGAGTGCAAAAATGGAGGCTCTAGCCCCTTCCAGAGCTGAGATATCGAAACTCAAAAATTCGGCCCGAAAAAAAAACGACAGTGGTACCCCTTACGTTTTTTTTTTTGGGCGAAAAATTAAGTTTCTCCAATCTTCCCAAAACTCTGGATTCTGATAGAGGGCCATGAGACTTAGACCTGAGTGCAAAAATGGAGGCTCTAGCCCCTTCCAGAGCTGAGATATCGAAACTCAAAAATTCGGCCCGAAAAAAAAAACGACAGTGGTACCCCTTACGTTTTTTTTTTTGGGCGAAAAATTAAGTTTCTCCAATCTTTCCCACTCTGGATTCTGATAGAGGGCCATGAGACTTAGACCTGAGTGCAAAAATGGAGGCTCTAGCCCCTTCCAGAGCTGAGATATCGAAACTCAAAAATTCGGCCCGAAAAAAAAAACGACAGTGGTACCCCTTACGTTTTTTTTTTTGGGCGAAAAATTAAGTTTCTCCAATCTTCCCAAACTCTGGATTCTGATAGAGGGCCATGAGACTTAGACCTGAGTGCAAAAATGGAGGCTCTAGCCCCTTCCAGAGCTGAGATATCGAAACTCAAAAATTCGGCCCGAAAAAAAAACGACAGTGGTACCCCTTACGTTTTTTTTTTTGGGCGAAAAATTAAGTTTCTCCAATCTTCCCAAAACTCTGGATTCTGATAGAGGGCCATGAGACTTAGACCTGAGTGCAAAAATGGAGGCTCTAGCCCTTCCAGAGCTGAGATATCGAAACTCAAAAATTAATTATGTTTCGCCAAAAAAAAACGACAGTGGTACCCCTTACGTTTTTTTTTTTCGGGCGAAAAATTAAGTTTCTCCAATCTTCCCAAACTCTGGATTCTGATAGAGGGCCATGAGACTTAGACCTGAGTGCAAAAATGGAGGCTCTAGCCCTTTCCAAAGCTGAGATATCGAAACTCAAAAATTCGGCCCGAAAAAAAAAACGACAGTGGTACCCCTTACGTTTTTTTTTTTTCGGGCGCAAAATTAAGTTTCTCCAATCTTCCCAAACTCTGGATTCTGATAGAGGGCCATGAGACTTAGACCTGAGTGTAAAAATGGAGGCTCTAGCCCTTTCCAAAGCTGAGATATCGAAACTCAAAAATTTGGCCCGAAAAAAAAACGACAGTGGTACCCCTTACGAGTTTCTACCCGTTGCTAAGCAACGGAACTAGGTCGAGTATTTAAAAGGTTATGGTTAACAAGGTTAACGCGGCTTAACGTCGATGTAATACGTTGTTTTAGCGTACCTTTTGCTCAAACGAGGAGCTGGGGGACGCCGGAAAAATAGACATTTTACTCATTAAGCTGCTTCATTAAAAACGTGACATTTAGACGTTTTCTTCGGTGTGGATCAAGGCAAATGAATCCTTTTCACCTTGAAAATAATAAATGTTTTTTTGTATTTTAAATAATAGACCACTTTTCAGTGATCGTCAATAGAACAAAATTACATTTTTCTTAGTTTAATGAAAACCAATAGGTCGTTATGGCAGAGGCGATTGCGCGTAGAATAGGTCAACACGGGTATCTCTCCACTGGAGCGTGTTAACGCAAACGTGTAAGTTTCACGTTTGAGGGGGTTAAACTGTGACATCTACACGTTTTCCCAAACTGGACCATTTAGGCTGCTTCATTAAACGTGGACATTTTCGACGTTTTGTTTCGGCGTGGATCGAGGCAAATGAATCCTTTTCACCTGAAAATAATAAATGGGGTTTTTTTTTTGCATTTTAAACAATAGACCATTTTCTCAGTGATCGTCAATAAAATAAATCCCATTTTTCTTCGGTTTAATGAAAACCAATAGGTCGTTATGGTAAGTTTCAGTTTCAGTGCAAGTTTCACGTTTGAGGGAGTGAAACCGTGATTTTCCAAAGTGTACCAAAGTGATCATTTCACGTCTTGTCGGCTGGAGAAATGTTGTTTTGGCCACTTTGTTTGATATAATCACAACAATTTAACGTAAGCAAGAAAGGGATTTGAACTCAGGTCTTCTTGATTAAAGCCCAACGCTTTATCAACTGAGTCTGTTGACTTCAAGGGTTTATTCGAGACTCCATTTTTGCACTCAAGTCTAAGTCCCAAGGCCCTCTATCAGAATCCAGAGTTTCAAGAAGATCAGAGAAACTCAAAATTTCAACCCCCCAAAAAAACGTCAGTGGTACCCCTGTCGTTTTTTTTGTTTTTTTTATGGTGCGAAAAATAAGTTTCTCCAATCTTCTTGAAACTCTGGATTCTGATAGAGGGCCATGGGACTTAGACCTGAGTGCAAAAATGGAGGCTCTAGACCCTTCCAGAGCTGAGATATTAAGATATGTATAATGGCATACATGCTATGTGGGATCTCAATATCTCAGCTCTGGAAGGGTCTAGAGACTCTTCCAGAGCTGAGATGTTGAGATCCCACGTAGCATTTATGCCATTATAAATATCTCAGCTTTCGAAGGGTCTAGAGACTCCATTTTTGGACACAGGTCTAAGTCTCATGGCCCTCTATCAGAATCCAGAGTTTCAAAAAGATCAGAGAAACTTTTTTTTTTGCAGCGAAAAAAATCAACAGGGGTACAGGGGGGGTCGAAATTTTGAGTTTCTCTGATCTTCATGAAACTCTGGATTCTGATAGAGGGACATAAGACTTAGACCTGAGTGCAAAAATGGAGGTTCTAGGCCCTGCCAGAGCTGAGATATTGAGATCCCACGTAGCATTTATGCCATTATAAATATCTCAATATCAGTAAAAAAAAAAAAAAAAGAGTAATAATGGTTTTTATAGTCATGGAAACCATTACAGAAATTCTATTGGCTTTAATGGTTTTCATGGGAATTATAGTGGTGTCTGTGGGTCTCCGCTGTAGTGGTTTAAATGGTAAAAGCAAATGGTTCCTATTGGTATTTTAATCAAAACCATTAGAATTTATGTGATGGTTTCCAACTTTTTTGAAGCTGGTCTGATCTTCTGTCCTTGTCTAAAGAAATAATTACACACACACACATCATGCTTAATGTTTTATTGTCAAAGTGAACACATGAAATTTATCAGTATCTGTAAAATTCATCTACATAAGTGAGTTTCACAGTAAGCCTACTAACACTGTTTCAGCCTTGATCGCTTCGGTAAACTGGTCATAAGTACACGCCTACTTGCATTTTATGGTTGTCAGCTTTGTTGCATTACATTTACTTCACCAGGAGATGGTGCTGTAATTTCTATCTGAATGAAGCTTCGAGTAATGAACCATTTTCGACACAATTGTATCAGAAAGCAATAATGCTTCGAAACACTTCACTATCACTATCCCTGAGTCCGTAGCACCAAGCGCCATCCCATAATTCCACCGTCCACGAACACACTATTTGTCCAATAACCCACTATTTTTGAAAAGTACTAAACCTGGCCTTCATGCAATAAGCTGCAAATGGACAGAATCCTGCCTGCAATCTATTGAATGAGGATTTGGGTAGTGTGTTTTTTGGACATTTTAATTAAAGTTGCTGTCGTGATAAAAATTATTTTACTGCACTGAGAGAGGCCGTGGCACCAAGCACCGTCATAAAAATAGTAGGTTCGCGGACGGTGGAATTTTGGGACGGCGCTTGGTGCCACGGCCTCTCTTAGTGCAGTAAAATAATTTTTATCACGACAGCAACTTTAATTAAAATGTTCAAAAAACACACTACCCAAATCCCCATTCAATAGATTGCAATAGAGCCTCCATTTTTTGCACTCAGGTGCAAGTCTCATGGCCCTCTATCAGAATCCAGAGTTTTGAGAAGATTGGAGAAACTTAATTTCTCACCTCGAAAAAAAAAAACGACAGGGGTACCCCTTTCGGTTTTTTTTCAGGAGGAAAGTTTTAGTTTCTCTGATTCTTGAAAAGCTGGATTCTGATGGAGGGTCATGAGTCTTAGACCTGAGTGCAAAAATGGAATCTCTAGCCCCTTCCAGAGCTGAGATTTTGAGATCCCACGTAGCATTTATGCCATTATAAAAATAGTGGGTTTGTGGATGGTTGAATTAACATTAAAATGTCCAAAAAATAGACTACCCAAATCCCCATTCAATAGATTGCATTCAACTGATGTCCATTGGAATGGCCAAAAAACAAAAACAATGAAAGCAATTATATATATATAGTATACATTTCATTTGTTTTCATTTATGAAAGCCTCATGAGCTGGGAAAATGTACTTTTATATTTTTCAGAAACTTGAAACATAATTGAGGTCTGAGGGGGTTAAAAACATCATAGTTTTTATTCAAATACAGCATTCATTTGAAACGGTCGGAAATCTTTTGTAACAATGTTAAAAGTCTTTCACGTTTGATCCCTTCTAAATGCATTCTTTGATTAATAATAAGTATGAATTTCTTTTAAAAACATTTGACGGTAGGCCTAGTGAAGCTGTCAGTTGTGCAAAAATATATATTTTACAAAACTTTTTTTTTACTTTTAATTGGGTCTGTATCATCTGTATACATCAAATAGATCTGCCTTTACTGGAAAACAACCGTGCGCCATTTGGCTTCGAAGTTCGAACATTAACAGTAAAAGAAAGGCTTTGAAGTTCGAACAACAATTTACCTCCAGTGATAAACGCCTGTCGTAGTTTGGACACGCCTAAGGAAGTAAAGTCTCCTCCTCAAGCTCAGGAAAGCGCCTTTTTTACCTCCAGGAATCGTTTAAGGTAATTTACTTATGACTAAAGAGTATTTTCAAACATAAATATTTATATGCAAGAAATACACGAAACTATCGCTATTCCAAAGCTATGGCTTACCCTTCTATCATAACTCATGCGTTGTTGAAGTAAGTGGTTTCGCTTGCGAGCTCGAGCCCGAGAAATCCATTTTCTATCCCTTTGTTTGCTTTAAAAACGCGTTTGGAGTCGTTTTCTCCTAAATGCTTCTGTTGTATTGTCTGACTGAAGATTCAAGTTTTGCTTGGTCTTTGCGTAACGTAATATATTTAACATACAGCTCTTGTGGTTTGTACGTGTAACCAACCTATGATAAGGTTACCTTATCATCCAGATGTTGTTGTCTGAAGTAGGCTAAGTTAACTTACCTCTTTTATTTTTATGCAATGCTCAAGAATATCTCATTTATCTGAGATATCGTTTTTTATTATTTCAGACTCTCTCTGGTGATAAAATAAACTTACTTGTGTTACATTTCTCAGTCAAGTAAGTTAGGCCTAACGTTAAATACCTAACTTACATACTTCATCATTATGAGTAATCTAAGTTCTCTATTAATTAAAATAACAATAATTAAATTAAAGAAAAAAAGAATATATATTAACCATAACATGTTGTTGCAGATATGTCGACATTAAGTGGAAAATCTGATAAGGAGATCAGTCAGCTGTTGGATGAATATGGCATTAAACATGGGCCCGTAGTAGGTATGTGATGTTTTTAATATGCTACGATAATAAGATCAGGGATGTTAAATTGAAAAGATAAAAGTTAGTTAGTTTTTTTTTTTTTTTGATAAAACAGTTGTGATGTGATTTGGTGTTGGTTTTGTTTTGCAGAATCCACACGGAAACTCTATGAAAAGAAATTGAAAGAGGCTATGGCCAAAAACACTAAGCCTTCCTCGTCTGACAAGACATACTACAGAGAAGAGCGTAAGACACACGCTTTGATATCAACCATGTATTACGTTATATAATCACACTTGTAAAAATTGCTTCTGTTTTCATAGAGGATGAAGTGGAATATCTTACCTTTCATCAGCCCGTAAGTAAAAACAACTGAATTTGAAGGGTCATGCATCTATGACAGGTAGACAATTAATCAGACATTCTTCAAATTTTGCAGCCTCCGTTGACAAGATACGATGCATTTGGTGATGTGCAAGTATCTTTTTATTATATATTATTGAATATGTTCAGCAGTAATAACTTAATTATAATGTCTAATTTCTGTAAAATTGTCGTGCTGAGATTTCAGATATTAACCCTTTTTCATGCTTACAGTAATTGTATAATTGTGATCTCTCCCCAGCACAAGAAGGTCAAAAGTCCCAGATGCAGATTTTACTCGCGAGTGAGTGAAATTCATTTATTTCTTTTGGTCTCAACTGAAGTTTAAAAGTGGTCACAACCTCCTAAATGATAACTGGATATGTGCTGTCTCTCCTCAGCATAAGGAGGTCAAAGTTTACTGATTATAGAGATGATGATGATGATGATGATGATGTAGGGCATACCAATGAGTGAGTTTTTGTTTTAATAATTTTGTTTCAGAATTTTTTTATTAATTTTTGTCTTCTTTTAAAATATGCTTGACTTTAATGTTCTACTGAAATGTTAATATTCCTGTAACCGCACTGAAAAATAAATGAAGTGTGCTTTCTGTCTTTTTTGAAGGCCTGTTATCAGCTCAACTCGAACAACCTATCAGAGTTCTTCTCGCCCAGGCCCATCAGTCTCCAAATCCGTGCAACATGGTGCCAGTCTACAGACCAGCAAACCTGGAGGTGTGCCAGTGTGGCTGCGTGTCTTGATGTTTCTTATCATTGCTGTGTTTCTATATTATGTGTACACGTGTATGGAGCCTGCAGAAGAGACTCCCTTTAAAACCATTAAGTAGAGGAGCAGTGAGTTGTTTTAAATATGTTCATCAGCCCCAACTAATTCGATTTAGTAGAACAAACAAAAATATAGCTTGTAATATATTCTGTAAGAATACAAATTTTGAGAGGTTTAATACCAGGTACTGTGGATAATGTGTAGTTTTATTCAAATATTTGCTGTGCGTTTTTATAAACAAACAATAACAGATGTGGAAGTCTGACCAAATCAAGAAAATTCTGAATTTTTATGATAATTTGTGCCATTTAAGTGTCTTTAAAGCTTGTTTTCTTATACATTGAATGTAAAATCCTTATGCCGTGGCAATATATTTAGGGCTTTCTGTAAAGCACTTATTGGTATGCAGTTTCTATTCGCTGTTTTTTTATGAATTCTGGGGTGCTGAATTTAAAGCTTAGTACATTAAAGCAATATACTACTCAAGGTTAGGCTATTTTGTGAATAATAGTTTCAGCTAAAGGTTACACAAAGTCCTTTCAGGCAAGTCATGCCACTCGCCGCCATCTTGGCAACGCCTCTGGGCAACTATTTCGGACTTAACAAGACCAGGCTTCTATCTAAATGAATGGGCAGAGAGTCAGAACTGCACTTTCACTGGTCACGAGACATAAAAACTGCATGTGTAGAAACAGCAGTAAAATATAATAAAAATCGCTGAAAAAGTTTGACTTTGCACTAAAATAAGGTTATAAACGCCGTTTTCCCACAGGTTATACTTTTACTGCGCATGCACAAGGGTTCTCTCGCTCTCTGTTGCGCACACGCTGCACAATTTGAAATGCGCGCTCTTGCTCGCTCTAGATTCCGGGAGATTTGAACTAATTTGCGGGCATCAGAAGACACCTAGAACTTCTGGGAGACTTGGGATGTCTGATATTTACACAACGCACACTGCATATCTAATCTGCCACCTTTTCAAACAGTTACGTATTTAAATGTTTCCCGGCTTAACCGTTAAACGCAGACGATTGGCTGTCCAGCGGGAGGGGCGGGGCATTCGCATACAATCGCCATCTTTGGTGTTACGAGTTTTCCCTATACATTTGTATTAAGGATTGAGGAAGCGGCATGTCTCTATATAAATAGTGTCTGGGTTACACAACCGCTTCAGTCAAGACTATATTCACAATATAGTAAAGCCTTGAATGCCTGTTACTATTGTTATAATTGTTCATGTACTATTGTTATAATTGACCTTGACATGTTAACACTACCAGTATGTTTATGCTTTTGTTTTGAATGTTATGTAATGTGCCCCAAAATTATTTGGACAATTTAAGCCACACATACAATACAGTATTAACAGATGAGCCAAAACATTATGACCATCTGCAACCAAGGTATTACCAGCAGATCCTTCAAGTTCAGTAACTTGCGAGGTGGAGCTGTCGTAGATCGAACTGGTTGGTCCAGCACTGGTTAGTCTTAGGTAGTTGGCGCGTGTCAAATTTACATACATGGCTGTCCACGTGATGCATTAGAAAATGTGATTATTTGGACCAATAAAGCTTTCACGGTTTGTCCCTCCTTGCTTCTCGGTACTGCTGATCAGGAGCAACCCACAAATGACCTACCGTTTCTGTGGCCTATCTGGTCAGAACAATTTGGCCCTTGTCAATGTCTCATGTCTTTAATGTTTTTTCACTAATCATCTAATTTTCTTAGAACATTGGAGCTTTTCAGGATATTATCTAAATGTTTTGCTTCACCTGTATCTGGTCACAATGTTTTGGCACATCATTGAATGGATGAACTGACATTGGATAAATGGCATTAGATAATCCATGCATGGAAAGTAATTGCACATACATAAAGTAGTTAATCATTCAAAACTATTCACTTTATTTTTGTAAAATGTTTGCTTGAAAAGCTTGTGCTGTCTTAAAAAAATACCACTTGGTTTGAAATTTGACCTAATTGTGTTATTTGTACTGGGTTTTTTTTCCTGCACACTTCACCTTGATTAAATCCTTTGTGGAAAAAAAGTTGTTTTGTTTCAATGAGGTTTTCTGCATTACTGTTTAAAAATGAATACTCACAGAGGGACCTAAAGGAGTAGTTCACTTTTAAAAAAACTTTTGCTGATAATTTACTCACCCCCATGTCATCCAAGATGTCCATGTCATTCTTTCTTCAGTCGAAAAGAAATTAAGGTTTTTGATAAAAACATTCCAGGATTTTTCTCCATATAATGCACTTTAAAGTTTACTGGTAACCAAACGGTTTACGGTAGTCCATTTGAGCTTATAAAACTTTAACTTTTTTTTTTTTAAATGAGCGATCGTCTCACTTTATAAGACCCTTATTCATCATCTAGAATCGTTTAAAGCCCTTTGAACAGTTTGATTCCCATTGAAGTCCATTACATGGAGAAAAATCCTGGAACGTTTTCATCAAAAACCTTAATTTCTTTTCGACTGAAGAAAGAAAGACATGGACATCTTGGATGACATGGGGGTGAGTAAATTATCAGCAAAAGTTTTTTTTTTAAAAGTGAACTACTCCTTTAAGCAAATACACATAAATATTACATTGTTAACTGCTCTGCTTTTTATTTCTTGACTGCTGTCAATAAAGTTAATAAAGTCACATATTAGAAAATGTAGTTTGTTACAAAACATCAGATTACATATGCATTGTTAAATGAAGGTATCTAGATTAAAAAAAAAAACATGCAGAAATAAGATCAGGCTAGATTTTGATTAGTGAATGGAGGCAACTTACAGGTTATCCTGAGTTTTAAAGGTTGTGTAAATATAATCACATGTAAGAAATCCTTGTGTATTATCTGGAGGGAGTGCAGTATCAGATGCTGTTTCTAAAACACAAAGACGAGATGTAAAGTCAGTACATTACAGTGTGAAAGTATAGATGTGCAGACTAAAATACTCAGCATTTTAAACTATATTCTATGCAAACATTACAATTTGAATCAATTTTCCTGCAGACTGTCAGGCTGCATTTTTTGCTAACCGGTTCTAAAAGTCTGAAATAATTTTTTACTCCACTCACCTTCCAGACTCAAATCCAAATGCTGTGATGAAGATGTTGATAAGAACAGTGAAGAAGACAAAAATAGTTGCTGCATCATTCATTGTGTTCAGCCTTGGCTGTTTCTTAACATCATTCAGGTCATACTTCACTGAGGGAAACAAGAGAAAACACATCAGTGTTGTGTCAGTGAGAAGAGATCAGAATGCTTTCAAACAGACACAAGTGTAAACTAGGAGGCCAACAATGATCTGCAGTGAGATGGACATTGAGATCAGAGCAATAAGAGGAATGTAGAAGCGGTGCTGAGGTCCTGAATGCAGAACTCTCTTTAGCTGAGAGCAGTTCGCCATCACAAGAGCCACATCCAACATGCTCTGCGCTGCATTCTTCTTAGTAGCGTAATGATTCATGTTGAAGAGACTGCCGTTCCCTGCGGCATGATCCTGACATTATATTAGAACATTCAGCAACTCAAGAACACGAAACTAGTCAGTAGAATAAAAGTAGCTTATGAGTGTAGGTTGCAGCACAACTGTGCTGGGAAAAAAAACAACTAAACTTTCAGACACTGAAAGCTTAAGCAAATAAGAAACCTCACACAGCACTGCTTGCTCACAGAATTAAAGGACCTTTTCCAACAGAAGTCTGACCATCACTTAGGTGCCATTGGGATGTTGTCTTGCGGATGAAACTTTAACAAGTATGCTTGCATGCAACAAAACACATATGTCTATTGAATAAATAACCTAATTTAAAAAGTATACTAATGGCACTATAGAGCTGCTAGGTGTTCTCTGCACTGTAAAATGCTTCTATACAGATCAGGAAGCACTGTTACTCACCACTCCTTGTTGATTCTCCATTAGCTTTGGGTTTGTTTAGCAGCAGAGATGTTAAAAACAAGCAGTCAAGATGCTCACAAACTAAACATCAGCTCAAGCTGAGAAGTGTTCTGCCCTACAATTCCAGGGTCTCTCCAAAACATTTGCTTTTAAAGACTCAGAGAAAGACCCTCTCACCAATGTGTGAACAGACAACGACTTTAAAACTGATTACTTCTTCAGTTTACACATTTAAATTTAAAATATCTGTGAATAAAAAAAAAACACCATGTGATTTTGTAATGTTAACCTTTATTTAAAAAAACATGTCATGACATAATGCAGATCAAAGATTTAAAAAAAAATGAAGATACATTTGTGTTTCATACTGCATCTGCATTATTTGGGAGTTAACTAAAACACTTAAGGGTTTTATAAAGAGAGGATTGTTTCTTATAGCTATTTGGAGAATATTATTAGATAACAATTTCATCATTATTTGGATGACTATTAATGTCTTTGAGTATAATATTATCAGTATAATATAAATCTGTACAACAGTGCATGGCATAGTGGTTGTAAAACACAAAGTGCTAAGGGCACAGTCCTGGTCGTGCAAATAAGTGGACCAGTTTTTGGCCCTTCTTACCACTTAAATCTTCAATTCAAGCAACAGTCTGTAGATTTCCATTTAGACGGTGAGAGTGTTTTTCAGGTTATGATTGGTGAAGGAAAAGAAAAGTCATATATCTGTTCTTCAGCTCCTCCAACTGTTTAGCTAAAAAAAAAAAAAAAATCATATTTTTTCATCTTATTCTTATTTTCTGTTTGTGAGGGTTACCCAAATCAAAGACATCCAAGAAAATACTCACGCAGAGTGTGCTTTTCTCCTTTAGACCAGTACCGCCTGTCTGTCTGTAGTTGTTGCACTGTTTGTGTAAGAGACGACGAGGTTTCAGACAGCTGCTTAAGAGCCTCTAGCTCCTGCAGAGTAATCAAAGAATATGCAAAGTATTTACATATGAAAAGTATACATCTGCGAAGTCACAAAGGGGACATTTTTAAAAAAAAGAAATCAGTGCTTTGATTCTGATCGGTCACACTCGCAAAACATTTTTGTATTGTCGCAAAGTACTATGTTTCCTTGAGAAACTTTGAATTTGCTTTCAAAAAACAAAACAAAAGAAAAAACGTCTGTTGCATTTGCATTCTCTCACAAAACTATTGTGTTCCCCCAACAATCTTTGCGTTCATTCACAAAAGCAATGAAATCAAGTTTTTCCATTTACCATACATTATTTCCAACACAAAAGTTTTCATTAATTCAATGAGCTCATTGTTTCAGGCTTAAATTATTACATTGTTTAAATTTGTATATGTACATTTCTGAAATACATAACTTAGACAGTTACCTCTGATAACAGATAAATCTAAATTATAATGTGGACTGTAAAGATGCTTTGAAACAATGAGTATGTGAAAAGCACTATACAAATAAATGTGAATTGAATTGAATTTCTATCTAAATCCATCAGATGACAATTTCATCTTTACTTGGATGAATATTAATGTCTTCACATTAGTTCAACAACAGCAATTTATTACCAGTATAATATAAAAGATGCTCAATGCTTTACCTTATTACAGGTGTGCAGAAGCTGATGTACAGATTGAAACACACTATTGTGGGAACTGAGGGCTGGAGGGGTTCTCTGGCAGTACCCTTTAAAGTCAGTGTTGTAGATCTGTCCGAAGGCCATCATAAGCTGAGACATGTCTGAGATGGCTACTTTCAGCACAGAGGGGGATAGCACCACTGCACGACCCGGCGAATCTGACTGCAGGAACTCACACTGAGGAACAGAAAGGATCGCACTATTACACAAAGCAGACTCATGATATCAGATGTGAAAAGTGGCACATGATGGTCCCACCTCTTTGTGGAGCTCCTCTAATGTGCTCTGTGTAGACTGCAGCAGCGCTTTGGCCTCTGACAGGCTTTCTTCTCCATGACTTCCAAGTCGGGAATGTTGATCACTCCTTCAAAAGAAGAAAATAACAAACGTGTTAAGGACAACAGTCTTGATAAAAAAAGAAAAAGAAAATTCCACATAGCCACATAACAATCACACAGACCGGTTAATGAAATCACCGGATTTACTGTGGTTCCCGTTCATTTTGTTTTGAGCCGACTGCATGCGTATCAGATGTTCACGGATGTGTGCGGGCCACGGGTTGCAGGATGGGTTCAGGAGCATATCCAGGTCAGATAAGTGATCCGGAAACATCAGCTCCCCAAGAAGATCGTTCTTCGCACTGTCATCTCCAGAGCTTGACTTCTGTCTATGTCGATTAAAACAAACCACAAGCAGGTCAAAGAAATAAGACCACATATTATTATAGGGCCTAAGGAGGGTGTAACTCAATGTTGATGTTAAATCAACAATACAAAACACAGCAAAAGTCAGATACCTTGAATGTATGGAGGAGTCTGCTTGAATGACCACCAGAAGCTGCTCTAGAAACACCAGCTGCCGTAATGGGGGTGCAAGACCCTGAAAATATAACAAACCAGGACAGATTTGTTAATTCTGCTTCAGTTTATACATTTAACTTGAGTAGATAAGAATAGCTGTAGCATTATCAGTTAAACAGTCGAATTAGCCTGATTTATTAACTTAAGTATCAATCCATCGCAAGCATTTTTGCTGGACAAATCAAATGTTCTGTATAAAACAGCTTGAGGAAATCAATATATTTTGACAAAAAATTGTGTCACTTCAAGTTTTCAGCATTGTAGCTTAACGGGTGCAATTATCAAGGGAAACGGGAAAAGGGCATATTTTCAAAAGCATTTCACTGTAATCTCTATTCTGCTCCTTATGTAAAAGGTACTGGACAGTATAAAGACCAAAATCATATAACTCCATACCTTGATTAAATCCTGGTCATTAGTTTTACACAACATCATTTCATTACCAAACCGTGTGAGTTCTGTGTGAGAGAGAAAGCACAACAATAACAAAACAATGAGCACAAGAAAATAAAACGATAAGAAACCAAGCATTTGTTGGACTTACCTTGAATTAAAACCTCATTCTGAGATGCTTTAATTGTGGAAAACTTCTCTCTTAGGGATGGGCAAATGCTTTGTTATAAAATAAACAAACACAGCATGACATTTTAGTATATACACATTTATAACAAACACATTTGGCATCATTATCATCATGTTTAATAGTCAATCAGGCATCAGACCTGGTACAGATCCACTTGAGTATATCAGTCCTGTGTAATGAAGGAGAACAGAGGAGCTCCTGCATGCTGTCTGCCTCCCTCAGGTAAAGCCCATCCACCAGAGGACAGCCCAGACTCTGAACACAACATTCATATGCAGCAGTTTAAACATAGTGGCCTGGTTTCACAGACAGGAGTTAGATTAAACCAGCAATTATATTTATTACATTATCTCTATTACACGGGTTATCTACTAAATTGGGGACAGCAAACATGATCTGAAATATCTGTTATGACAAATGTATTAAGTTGATAAGTTTAACATTTACGAAATTTAAGACTAGCTACAAAAGTAGCTTTGACGTCACGTAAGTTAGCGCCCTAGACACACTAAACAATACTAACGTTACTCAAAACAGCCAGTTTTAACTTCGTGAAACATAGAACATTATTTAATGTCTCTTTTCACAATGTAATGCGTGTATTAAGATGTGGAAACTACCTGAAGGGTGTTGTAAACTCGCAGAGACAGCAGCTGCTCTTTTGAATCGCCCGCCATGTTGTTATTTCTGCAGTGAGTCTTCTTCTTCTTTGTTTTTAACGGCGGTTGGCAACCAGCTTTTGGTGCATTACCGCCACCTTCTGCTCCGGAGTGTGAATCAGACATGAACACACACATTCACATTCATTCATTTCCATACACACTTTCCTATATCCCTATTTATCCTCATAACCGATCATACAAACCAGTTTCCCTAACAATATTCTAATTCTAACCTGTGCTCTGTCACCTATATTCAACACTCCATTTAATTTTAATTCCTGTACCCCTAATTCCTTCAAATTATTCCTCATTATCACTCTCTGTACCTCATCATACCTCCATCTGATAATTATGTGCTCCACTGACTCTTCCTGACACCACGCACTCACACAAGCCCTGTCTATGCACCAGCTTTGCACGAGCCTGTTTCATGTTTTCTGCTGCACTATCTGCATCGAGTCAGTCTTCTTCTTCTTTTCCGTTTTATGACAGATTGCAACCATGAATTTTAAAGGTGCACTGCATACCGCCACCTACTGCATCAGAGTAAAAAATCAAAAAACAAAAAAAAAAACTAGATCCTCTGCGTCCTGAAGCGAACCGTACTGTACCGTACCATTCAGTGGAAAAGCACCACAAGTGAGCCGTACCGAACCGAACCGTACCGTACTATGCAGTGGAAAAGCGCCTTTATATATTCCTATGTTTTTCTAATATTGTATAACTGCTTTCTGTGTATCCTTCCTTTACCCCATCTCCTGTTGTACCTAATACACCTTTGATGTTCCACTGAATTCCTGCCTTCTCTTTTGTTTTAGCCTTATCCTCTCATCTCTATATTTCTTACAATGTATTAATACATGTTCTACATCTTCCTTGGAACTACATTCCAAACATTTATCTAATAGACTTTTCCCCATTAAAAACAATGTTTTATTAATTTAACCCTGTGTGGTCAAATCGCTCTTCTCTCTTCTGTTACTTCCATTCACCCCCTGGACATTAATAGATTTTTGTAAGCTGTAATATTTCCTTCCACTTTTATCCATATCCCAGTAATCCCACCTTTCCTACCATTTCTTCGTTATTTATTTTTTCATTATCGCCTTAGTTTCTCCTTTTCCAATGGGTATATTTATGACATCGTTCCCTGCAGTGAGTCTGCTCGGTTCGACAGTGTCATTTAGGGCCCGCGGTTACAGCGACGCCCAGAGGATTTTTTAAAAAGTATTGTAATCCTTGAGGATAGGAGCATTTTGGTGTGATGTAAAATAAACTGTAAGCCTTGTAGGTTTTTGTTAGGCTACTTATATTTTAGGAAGATTTATTGTTTTTGCAGCTTTGTAAGTTGTCTTGTTGAAAAACAAAATCTCTTGAATTAATTTAATCTGAAATCTTTATTTCGGCACAAGGTCAAAATTGCGCTTGTTTTTGCATGTTTTCAAAAACATGCTATGTTAAAAGTCATAGAATTTCTGTATTTAAAAAAAAAAAACTGATTTAGTGTAAATTCATCCCATTTTTTTCCAGAAACAAATCAACTGTCAAATGTACTGAATTTTACAACATACATTTTTTTATACAAAATATGCTACATTGTATTGTACACCTATACAAACTAAAAAAATATTTTTTACAAAAGGGAGTTTTATTTTTTATTTTCATCAGTGTTGCTTTTTTTCATCAGTGTTGCTTTAAAAGATTGAAAAATCTTAAAAAACAAAACAAAAAAGAGAACATTGCTCAAAACCAATTTTGTTACTTACATAAAAGGTTATCCTTATGCTTTCTTTCACATAACCCAACATCTCAGTTAAAATGTGCTGCCTAAACATTCAAAACATCATGATGTATTTTGCTCATTTGATATGGAGTAGATAGTGTCCTGTAATCCTGTAATCTTATTTTATAAAATGCATGATGATGAAAGGAAAGGCGGGATGAGCATAAATGTAATCACATATGAGCAGTCATGTACTTATACATCATCACTGATGTTTATGGATCTGGTCTGGGCGAGTGCAGTCTCAAATATCACATTGCCCCTGAAACAATGGGGTGAAATGTAAAGTTAGTACAATCTGAGCGTTATTTTGATGTGAGAATAAAGAATATGTCCACATGTCTTATTCTGGCATTTCCTCAGTTAACTGAACTGTAAAGTATAAATCATGGGCAGAATGAAAATAAATCGACTTTGCTGTTACTCTGCTCACCCTCCAGACTCAAATCCCAATGCTGTGATGAAGATGTTGATAAGAACAGTGAAGAAGACAAAAATAGTTGCTGTATCATTCATTGTGTTCAGCCTCGGCTGTTTCTTAACATCATTCAGGTCATACTTCACTGAGGGAAACACAAGAAAACACATCAGTGTTGTGTCAGTGAGAGGAGATCAGAATGCTTTCAAACAGACACAAGTGTGAACTAACCAATGAAGACGAGTAGGAGGCCAACAATGATCTGCAGTGAGATGGACATTGAGATCAGAGCAATAAGAGGAATGTAGAAGCGGTGCTGAGGTCCTGAATGCAGAACTGTCTTCAGCTGAGAGGAGTTCGCCATCACAAGAGCCACATCCAACATGCTCTGCGCTGCACTCTTCTTAGTAGCGTAATGATTCATGTTGAAGAGACTGCTGTTCCCTGCGGCACGAGCCTGACAGGGAGGGGACACTGTTTACATTACACATATTCTATTCTATATCCCCTCAAAATGATTTTACATGTCTCAAATAACCCCATTCAACAAAGTGTTTTGTAAAGAAGGCTACAGGTTAATAGTATAGAAATTGAATAAGCTGGCAACACATTGCAGGTGGATTTTCAATTGTAGCCTATGTCAGAAATCGGCAATCATATCAATAAGCTAAAAATAAAGCCCTGAGATTTGTAAGGCCATTACATGATTACTAATGAGTAAAACAGATGACTAACATGTATTGAATATATTTCTCAAATCATACTTAATTAATAAAGTTGATATGCATGAGTAGGCTACTTTGGTCAATAGCATTATACATTTCCAGTAGCAGGCATACATAAGAAAACATATTTATTTAATATCACACAATTTTATTTTTAAGATCTCTAATTATCTACCCACAAATTACATGTTTTTCAGTTAATTAACAGAAATTTAGACCCAAACAGAAGTTGAAAATATGACATCCTGGGACCTAGGAATAGACTTTTGTCATTACATTATATTTTAGTGAATTTCTCTGACACAATACATCACAGTTTTGGGCACATTCAGAGCTTTTCAGAGATACCTGTTTGTTGATTTCACTATGACAACAACTTCTCCTTGGTCTTTAAAATGACTGACATTAATGTAGTGATCAAATTTGGCACTCTTATTGAAAAGGACATTTTTATGGGGTTTCTAGTCAAACAATCTTTGCTCTCTAAACAATGTAAGCTAATGACATAAAAAAATACTAAATAAAATTAAAAAAGATTCTGGGTCTCAGGAGGATTTTAAATGTTTGTGTAGCTTGCAGTCGAGATATATTTTAACGATAAGAACTATGTGTTGGTTAAATACAAAGGGTGGGAATAGCACCAATGCAGGTATGTCAGCATAGCAGTTTAGGGTGGCGATGAAGGGTGTGCTCAACAGATTTCAAACCCATGAGCAGGTTCTGTTAGCAGCCATTATAGTCTATGATTACTGTCTCTCTCCCTTTCAAAACAGAACTTGTTTTATCCCCCTTTCACATATCAAATGCACTGTAATAGATGTTGATTATAATATTTGGCTGATTAAACCCGACTATAAAACGGATAAAACAGAACAAAAACATTTTATTTAAGTTTTTAAATATCACATAATAAGTTTCCATTCTTAATTCTTCAAGCATTACATTAGTAACTGGATTTTTAAAACTGTTTCAGTTTGTTTAAAAACAAAATATCAAGAAAAAACTCTACCTCCACCTTTCCTGATTCACTGAGAGCTCGGTTTTCCTCCATCGGATGCTCAACTTTTAAGAGTTTCGCTCAGGAACATTCGAGAAGCTAATAAAAGTAATATAATACAAAAAAAAATCTTTGAAATGAATGATTTATACACTGAACGGTTTCCGCGTTTAGCACTTCCCAATTTGTTTTGTGTTGTAAACGTTGGCATTGGCAGTGAACAAGTGGGCGTGATTCAACCGTGAATCGAATCTTTTGAATCACTAAAAAGACTCGTTCAGCGGGTTCACGTGCTTACTTCAGAGGGTGTCAGAAGTCACACTCCTCTTCTTAATTTATCACAGGTTTTTAATTCAACAAATGTTGTTGAAGCACATGTCACGTGCACACGTTTTTTACTGTAATTTGGCCAGATTAATCTGATCTTTTCCCCTTAGATTTTGACATTGATAGCCTAAACGCCTCACCGTGTCCCAATTCCACCTCTATTTCTATGCCATTAAATGCAGTCGTAAATATTACATATTCTTTATTAATTAAGCAGAGCGTCATCAAGGATAGCAAGACAATTACTTTACACTTGGTCTCCCATTGGTATCATCTATTTCAGAAAATCTTGTCTCTAACAGCACATAAAAAAGTTAGTCAGATTTACATGCAAGTCAAATGTTCTCTTACTGTCTAAGTGGGCAGTTCCTGGCCAGAATTACATGCAATGAGAACCAGACTTTTTGACACAAGTGAGACTGGGGACAACAGTAGTTCTTCCAAATCAGTGCTGTAATCAATGATCCCATATGAGCTATGCTCAGAATATGAAGTTTGATCATATTACTTAATGAAAAAAGTGTTGGAGACATTGTTGCCCATCTATTCATGCCAAAATAATGATATATCTTTTCAATAAAGTCTTTCTTTAAGGGAACAGGTGATCCGGCCGAAGAAATAATCACAGGCACACAATGAAACACAACTACAGACACTGGTCAAAGTTATTATTGTAGAATACTTTGATTTGATTTTTTATACAGACAAAAAGTGTTGACTTATCTTCCCATTAAATTCTTAGATTTCCATACAGTTTAGTCTACAGTATACAGCTGTGTTCTTTCATCATAGATAGATACTTTTTTCTCTTAAATAACAGGCAGGTAATTATTAATATATTTAATAGTTTAATATTTTTCTCTTTTTTGTCTTTTTTTCCATTGTAGAGCAGTAAGTGTATGTTCAGGAGAATGTGCAACTGTTTTTTCCATCAGCTAAAAGTTCACTGATGGAAAAAGACAATAATAATAATAATTATAGTCATAATAATCATAATAATGTACAAGCTGTTCAATTTTAATTCTTTACAAAAAAGCATAAGGAGAAAGAAAGAGGAAGAGACAATAGAGTAAAACACAAAATGTGCTTAAATCGTAAACAAAAGATGCACATGTGCACATTTTGGCAAAAATGTACAGTGATGGTGCAGTTGTACAATAATTTATAAGTTTTATATTAAATATAGTATATTATTTACTCTTTTTCACATTACATTTTTTTCACCTTACCTTGTGTGATTTTTCTACAACAGAATGGAACAAAATGAAGGCAGACGATGGATTTTTTGGATTATCTGTTTTCTTTTTTTAATATACATATGTATATATTTATATATACATATATGCGTATATATATATTTGTCACTATCAGGAGTTTCGATAAAGTGTCTGTCTGTTGTGGTGGAGAGGAGGGATACCATACATATGCCACTGTAATATATATCATCACTGTCTGGAGAGTTCAATGATAGGGGTATACGTCTTAGATACATTTAAATTTAAAAATTATTCAGAGACGAGCATAGCTTGAGGCCTATTTCGGTAGTTAAGCTTTGCTGAGGATAAGATAAGGTTAGGAAATATTTCTTTATAATGGTTTAGCAGGTTCACTGACCTGTCCTCCCTGACCACCACTTTGGCCTGCTGATTGTGTCTGGACCTTGAAATGGGTTCAATCTGTGAGACCTGCCAGCGCTCTCGACACTAGAGACTCCACTGAAACTGTCTGAGCCAATCGAACTCAGCAAAAGGTCGGACACATTCATGCAGATATAACACAGTTTTGCTTGAAGGCATATTCCGGGTTCAATACAAGTTAAGCATTTGTGGCATAATGTTGATTACTACTTTTCTTTTTTAAGAGAACACTTATTTTATAATTAATACATTATATAAGAAGCATCAATTAAGGTCAAGGCAAGACACTTACAATGAAATTGAATGAGGCCAGTTTCTGGAGTATTTAAAAGCAGAAATGCAATGCAATGCAAAAAAAAAATGCACTTGCATTAATTCTTCTTTTAAAGAAGTGTTTTTCCCTTCACATTTCAATTCATGTTGACATGGGTGTATATGAGTATTTTAATGTTTACAGATTGGCCCTATTCTCTTACATTGTAAGTGCCATGAATAGACTGAACCCAGAATATTCCTATAAAAATGGGTTTCCATTTAAAGATCCGACAAAAAAAAGGTCTTCTATTCGACCCATTTTAAGCAGCGTGTCTGTTGGCATTTAATAAGTAGTCAGATTGGCAGTGTGACACTGCTCCACCTCCAGGCTCCACACCACAAACAGGGCAGAGTATCAGGAGGAGAACATCAGCATGGACAATAGCACATTAATGACAGCACAGTTGCGTTGGGAGGAGCAACGTGTGTCCACCAACCACTTAAGAGCCGCAGTGAAGCATCGACAGACGAAAGTGAAGTCAAACAATGACGGTGAAGAGCGAGCGCTATGATATCAACATGCTCTGCAAAGACACAATCGACCAATGCAATGACATGATCTAGTGACGCTCATGCTTGCACAGTCTGCTTTCGATATTCGCCAGTTTCTCTCAACTGGACAATCTAGAAAAGTATTCTATACAGATAAAGGTTTTTTTTTTTTTTTTCGAGATCCATATGTACATGTCATGAAGCGTATTTCACAGATCTGTGGGCAGGGCAGTCTGTTGCATAAGTGCCGGTCTCATTCCCCAAAATGATTGTATTATGTTGTAACTGTACCATTCAAGGCAATAATGGGGTGTAAAAGGAGGTAACCCCGGATGGTACGACTGAATCAAACATTCGATCATCTGACGTGGAGAATCATGAATGCCTTAATGTATATAATTGAGATTATTGTTCTGAAATGCTAACATATGCACCAATAGCAGGATGGTGTGTCTATCAAAGTCTACTGAACGTTTGCTCAGTAGTGAACTTCAATATTGTGCAAAAGTAATGATACCCTCACGGATTGTCCATTGTTTTAGTATCTTCGATACTTTTTTTTTTAACTATGTTGTGGCAGTATAAGATGGATTCCCCTACCCTGGTGACCACAGTCTGCAGATATATACACAATCTGATAAATATTTCACACAAATGAGGAAAGCAAGTGTGAGTGCGGATGTATTTAAAGGGCCAGCAGGTATGCGTGTACTGAACTAATATAAGTATATGAACATGTTTAAAGGGTTGATGCATTTGTTGGTGTCAACTGCACAACATGGATTTTAATGGCTTTAAATGTGAAAAGAATCAATAAAAATAGAAGACACCATTAAATGTTGAGTCTGGGCAAACCCACTGAAATCCTTAAATCTCAGCTACTAAGTTAAGACATATTAACAAGGCCATTTTGTCATAAGGTTGATTGCCATTGCTAAGTTGGAAAACCACCAAAATCCCACCCACGTCCATTATACCACTGTGATGGGATTGCCCAAATCCTCTACCCTGTAGCATATTTTAAACATGAACATATTGTGTAAATGTTTAAAATATCAAGAGCATGATGAAAAAGAAGCTTACTCTCACTTAAGAGTACAGCAACAAATTGCCCTCAAATAACAGATTTTTTTTTTTAACATAAAATGCAGTAACACAATGGTGCGGCGACATATATGTTTTCTTTTTGTCATCAGCAGACGCATTATAGATGAATTAGTCTAAGCTTCAAATTAATATTATCTTTGCTTTGTTAGTACTTCTTTTTTCTTGCTTTTTTATGCTTATAGGACAGACACAACACACACACACACACACAGACACATAGAGAGAGAGAAATAGACAAAGTGAAAATGAAAAATAAGTGTTGGTGATCACAATAAATAAATGAATAAATAAATAAATAAAATGTTTTAAAGCTTATCCAGAGTAATAAAAGTCATATTCTGTGATATCGCGATGATAATCCGAGCACTCATGATGACGGTGGCGATAGTAAGAAGTCAAACATGATAATAATAATAATAATATTGAGTTTAGTAACACCGATAAAAAGTAAAGTGAATGGACCCCTACTCCACCCGTAGGGAACATATTCCTTTGCATTCCGAGAAGTCAATAGTCACCAGCACTAAAGAACCACTTAAAATCCATCGGTCTGGATTCCTCACCTTCTTGGGTCCTTCCAAAGGAACCACAGATACGCAGCAGACATGGCTCCTCTCTACACGGTGAGAGGAGAGTTGTCTGTGGGGCTGTTGTTGAGACATGAGGAGTGATAGTGCTTTCGGTGGAGGGTGGTAGTGGGCGGATGGTTGTAATGGGATGACCCTGTCTTAGTGTTGGAGGTCAACCACCTGTAAAGTGTACGTAGGAGCTTCCCCAACCAGCGTGACCCGCACAAGTCTGCATCCTCAGAGTTTTTAGGGTCCGGAGAGCGGTCAGTTATAGAGAGGTCTCCAGAGCGAGGAGGGGGTACAGCTGTCGAGAGAGGGGTGTACAGTGCCCATCAGGGCCTGTGGGGAGGTTCAGGTGGTAGATGCTGCTCTCAATGGCGTTGTTGTTGCGGTTAGGTGTGGTGGGGAGGCTGTACTGGCGGTAGGGACGGGGCGGTGGATGGGAACGCTGCGGAGGCTGGACCGGAGGAGGAGGGGGCTTTCGGAAGGCCGGATGCAATTGGTGGTTGTGTCTCGACCACTCCGATTCGTCGTCAATGTCTGTGTCGTCGATCAGCGGGATGTTGTGGATGTAGTCATTGATGAGAAACTCGGGGTGCGCCATGAAGTTGTGGATGGAATTCCTGGACGCGGGTTTCTCTATTCCGTCGTAATGGGAGCTACGGAACGCTTTCACCACCCGCATCTGCACGGGAACAGAGGGGACGAGGTGCAGAGAGAGAGACAACAGATTGGGAGAAGTGAAGAAAGAGAGAGGGTTGAGACAGAGGAGGGTGGGAGCAAAGATATCTCTCAGTACATGTGTGATAGAAAAGACCTGAAACACTGTAGAACCTGTTCTGAACATGCCTTACAATGCACAGACAGCTCAAGATCAGGTTGCTGCAAAAATTTGAATGTTTGAATCATTTGTTTTAGGTAACTACAGTAATGATTTTATTTTAGTACTTAAAGGTGCAATGTGCAATTTCTAGTGGGAACAAACAGAATTGCAAATAACTGGGACATCACTGGGACTTTCTTACTGTTTGTATCACATTTGTGTCTGTGTTTGTGTGTAACCATTGGCTGAACAGACCTATATAGAAATGGCACAAAATAATGACACAGTGGAGTAGCAAAGTCATTATCTGATTGGTCGAATTCTACAGGATTTCCGGAAAACGCGTATGTGGTGATTTTAAAGGTGCAGTTTGCTACTTCTGAGAAACACTGTTGATGTTTGATCCTTTATTGTTCCGCAAACCAAAATGCACCAACACGCAATGCAAGAGTGGAAGCAAAATATTGCTTTGTGAAAAAAACGCATAGATGACTAACAAACGACAAGAACAAAACCAGCAAGAGTTCAATGTTTGTCGCCAGCAGCACAGCAGTTCCAGACAAACAATGACACTAAAAATGTCCTGTCACTATAGCTAATATTACAACAACAGCATATCTTGTTTCTGTGAAACATAGCAAAACCAATGTTACTCGCGTATGGAGCAAAAACAACGCAACATTGGCGTCCGTTTTCAGGTATTCCGGTCCTAAAGCTCTTGCCTGATCATAACTCTTCTTTTTCCAGTGATATTCCTCTGACCTATTCTCTTATGTAATGTCTCTCAGCCATCTCTCTTTCTACAGTATTTCTTCAAATCTTCCTCTTGCTCCTCCCCCTTCATGAGTGTTTACGCCCCCCTACTGCTGGTGGTCTACAAGTGTATTGTGGTGCTCGGTCTGATCCACTTTCAACAGCGTTTATCAGAAATCGGTTACTGCACCTTTAACGGCCCATGCAAGGCTCATGTGTGAGCTCAATATACAAAGCATGTGCCAAAAATCCTGCTGCGCGTGTACAGAAAGTGTGTACTAGCAACGCATACCCTAGTGTACAAGTAAAAACTGAAGTGCACTTTGGACGGTTGTGGTGGTGATTTTTCAGTGACCTGTCTTTGTGAGTAATTGAATCCTTCATTCAAACAATGTATTCAAACACATTGATTCATTCAGGATTGTTGCTTGGAGACACAATGGTTAATCCTGCTGCTTGTGTGGAACTATTTCTGTCGGTGGAACAAAAATAGGCAATATTTGGTTAAAATTTGGTCTAAAATGTAAGTTTCTTCATTTTAAATTCTTACTTTTTGAATTGTAAAATGAAAACAATACCATATTTTACAATCATGCTGTTCTGTGCTGGCCTGGTCTGAATATTTGCATTCTTGATTGTATGATATTTCTTATTTGGTCAGGATTTATTACGTTGCCCATTGCACACTAAATAAAAATGCTTAACCCATTGAATTCATTCATCGACGATAACAAAAAAAAGCTACAGTCCCTGACCTCATCTCATGCCATAGGTTGAGCCAATGATACACCACTCAAACAAACAGATTGCAATTCTGTTTTAGGCATTTATACTGCAGAAATTACACACTGCACATTTCATTTAGATTCTAAAACCTAAAAACTAAGGCTATATACTTTAGCTGCGCAACCAGATCTTAAGAGTTTCTCAAAGAAAGACAGATGACAAACAAAATAAAAACAAATCACAGTAAATTAACCCAAGCTGTCAGTTCACAGTTATCACTCAAAAATAAAGGTGATGGACATTCTCATAAACTCAAAACAGAAAACAGACCAGGCCTCAAACAAACAGATGAATGAAAGCACAAAGTACCAAAGAGATTCAGCTCAAAACATGTGTATATCGAACTATTAGTATTGAAAACGTAAGTAGTGATGATGAAAGAAAGACAGAAAGGAGGATGTCTTGAAACACACATGGAGACACAGCCAATGAAAGAAACAATGCATAAGGATCTGCCATAAAGTGCTAAGCAAAAGGGATGTGATGACTAGACAGATGCATGAGGTACTGTAGGACACACACAGTGATGCACTATGCAGTCCTCTTTGACTTCCTCCTCATTGGTACTAGCAGCATTCAGGGGTGTGGTAACAATGAGGCAATGCAACTTTAGTAATGTGATCATGATGTCATGACAGAAGCCATGGAGACAATATGCGTAATGAGGCCATCAGCCAATGATATCAATGCCAATGAGTGAAAATAGGTCACAAGCTGTGAAGATATATTGTAGCTGAAATGTATTAAATATCGAATGATCTGTATTCCTATATGGATTTATCTGTCTTCCTGATCAGAATTATACTGCCACGATTTACATATTATAATAATAATAATATGATATATGAAACATATGGGTGTTTCTTCAATCATGAACATTTTTAGGAAATAAATTACATCCATAAATCATACACAAATCATACTTTTTTTTTCTTTTTGAAAGGCATTAATATTTCCACCACATCTTGAGTAATGTTTTGTTTTAAATTACATTCTGTGGAAAAAAAACCCCAAAACATTTATTAGAAGTAATGTACAATAATATTATTCTGATCACATTGTCTCTTTGCAATTATTAGTGTTAAAAAAATTGCAGGTGAAATTATGCTAGAACTGAGGGGTAGATGTATAAAAATCTAAAATAAGTGTTGACACAATAAATATTGAAATGTACTATGATTATTCCACTCCTTGTTTATGTTATAAGTGTGTAAATGAAGGTCACAGAAAAGCTCTCTCAAAATTCCTATTGGTATATATTGGTTTTGGTTTTTATTGGAAAAAAATGCCACATAAAAGTGCCCATACTTGAAGAAACACCCACCCACATGATCTACAGATATTAGGTCACTCTAGTAGGCTTACGCATATGATAAATTGCTTCACAGGTTCAGATTACATTGACTGCCAGAGGATAAGTCATAAAATTTCAAGGGACGTCATCTAGATGGATGATGATGACTTCTCTGATTCTAGTCACTTCCTGGCACTGAGCCATTGATTACATGACACCAACTGCTGTGACAGAAGACCTTAACAAGCACTATCACACTGACAAGAACAGAGCAGGCACAATAAACAAGGTTGCAGCATCTCTGGTTTCTGCAAAAGTCACATTATCAGCACAAATGGATCACACTTTTGTACAGTGTCATAGGCCTGAAATCGAATTTTGCTTGCTATCTCGGTAAGGGCTACTATTCTGGATTAGTGTTCAGATGATACATTCAGTAGTGGATGGTTAGAGAGGTGTGGAAAAGCACATTCAGTGAGTGAGATTGAAAGTGCGAGCATCTTTTGGCATGCAGCAGAGCAGTTGAGTGCAGATGACAGACACAGAGAAGAGTAGCTGAAGAGTTTTGATGAGATCTGCCTCAGTCTATATGCAGAGAAAAGGAGGAGGACAGGAACCAATCAGAAAGCAAAATGCTCATTCCAGTGCAGCTGTCTCGGGAACAGAAACAATGAAAGTCGAGGTCAAACTCAAAAACTTGAATGCATGATGGTAAGCAGTCAGGCTCATGCTGTAAGAGTAAATCAAAAGCAGCTGGAGCACATATACACACGCATCTCTCGTGTGTGTATATATACTCAGAAGGACGGAGATTTGAGAGTGCAATCCTTTGCTGTGGCCATAGGCTGGTGCAGCCCATCCCAACCCCCATTTCAACAATAATCCAGCAAAGGAAAAGAAGCTAAAATGACCAAGTAAAAATTTACAAGAGACAAAACAAACAAACAAACAAACAGGAAGGGACGGTCAAGCATTTGGTTTAGTGCTTATCTGTTTTTCCAAAGAGCCTG